TGCGCTGCCGTAATGACAAACACAGGGAAGGCAGACAGGCCAGGCTGAGCAGAGCCAGCCCACGCTCCCAGCACCCTGCCATCACTGCAGGTCTGGTCCTGCACAGCTCAGTGCACAGCTCAGGTGCTGAGCGCCGTCTGAGCGCTGATGATTTAGTGGAAGTTATTAGAGTTAGGGTGGTTTGGTTAGGTCGTGGTTGGACTCGATGGTCTTTAAGGTCTTTTGCAACCTGAGTGATTCTATGAATCTGAGCACAGGGAAGTGTGAGGATACAAGCAGAGGAGAGGAGAACAGAGCCCTGTTTAAGCAGTACAACAATCTGGATGCATGGCGGTTCTTCACACACACCTGACCAGTGAACTATTTACACAAACCCTGCTTGGCTCCCAGATTCCCCCAAGGCCAGCTGAAGGAATGGCTTTCTGTGAGACAGTGGGGCTCAGTGCACCCACATGGAGCAGCTCAGTGCACCCACATGGAGCAGCTCAGTGCACCCACATGGAGGGGCTCTGTGAACACACACAGAAGGGTTCCGTGCACATCCCATTAAGGCACACACGCTGGCTCATGCTCTGTGCAGAGCATCTCACTGCCAGCACCTCAACGCCCAGCAGAGCTCACGTCTGCCCTCACAGCTCCAGCACTCCATGTGCCAGCAGCCGAGGGGCACACAGGGCATGGAGCACCTTCCTCTTCCTCCCTTCCGCAGAGGAGCTTCAGCCTTGTTCACACATAGACAAAAAAACAGTGTCTGGATCTAGGACACCATGCCAACAGCCAGAAATCTCAGCTCAAGGGGTCCGAGCCTCTGTCTACAGACTTCACATGAAATAGCACAGGGGGCTCTGGAGAGCTCCATGCCAAGCAGTGCTGCTGGGGCTGCTGCACGGCACCAATGGATGTGAGCAGCTGCTCTGTGGAGACAAACACCTGTCTGCTCTCTTCTGGTACAAATTACCGTGCACTCTGCAGGCACAGGCACCTCTGTGTGTTCCTTCATAGTGCTGTCTTTCCAGGATGAAACGCTCCCACTGCCTGGAGAAGCTGCTTAACTGGCATGCAAATTCAGAAGCAATTTGCAAAACTACGCACTGTGCAGAAATGGATTTCAAAAGCATGTACGCAACATCTGCATGAGATCTCAAAGCTCTTCAGCTTCAAAAGCCAGCTCAGACCTTTGTAGCGCTCACAATTAATAAAAACAGCCTCAACTTGACATTTATCAAACTCCACCTGATATGCAATTGCACAAGAAGATCAAAGACCAGGAGAGATGGATGCTTCTGCATAAACAACAACACACAGAACAAAGCCGCAGGCCCCACCAAGACAACAACAAAAAGTAAAACGAGCCAGCATACTGAGCCACAGAAAGAAAATGATGTAAACGATGTATTGCTACAACAAGGCTGCCTAGCTGAGTGCTTCCTGACGCACAGCCTGTGTCAGGGACTGCCACTGCAAGGAAGAGATGTGCGCGGCACTGCAGAGCAGCCACCTGCACACGTGGTTCTCTGCCTTTCACATCTGCATGGTGAGCCCTGCACCTTGTACCTGTGGGAACAGCAACACGGCACTCCCAGGGAGGAGAAACACAGGCAGTGCACCCGGAGCTCCTCGTCCTTCCACCTGCCTGCAGCTCGGGGCAGCCCTGCAGCACACATGGGGACGTGGCTGCAGCAGTGCAGGGCATCCCACTGTGTGCTGCAGTGTGAGGGCAGCACGTGGGACTGAAACAGTCACTTGGCACTTCCAGCAGCTCTGAGCACTTCTGGCATGAATAGGGAAAGATACGGCCAACTCTGCAACAAAAATATCTCTTATTTTGTCTCAAAGTAACTTTTTTGCTATCTTTGAAGTCTAAGATCATTACATTACAATTGCCCAATATTTTGCTTTGCTTCGGTCAGTTCTATTTCTTGTTTGGCACCAGTTTCTACTTTGCCATCTCAGTCTGTCCTGTGTACAGACAACTCCCTCTTTTTTCCAGTTGACAAAGAAGCCCAGCAGCAGCAACACAGTGGTGGGACCAGCACAGGAGCAGACGGCGGGACCCGATGCTGCACGGTGCTCAGGGGGGTTTCACACACTGTATTCCAATGAGTAACATGTCAGTGATGGATGGGGGAAAACGCCAACACGCTCAGTTCTCCCGTACCCTGGAAAGGCTGGAGGGGCTCAATGCATTGACCACCAGGCTCACATCACTGCTCCAGCCCCTCGGTGTCACACCTCACCTGCCCTGCAGCAGGACAGGGATGTGAGCACCAGCCGTGGGGAGCTCTGTTACAGCTGCACACCCAGCACCACGACATCCCTGCTGGAGGCATTTAACCCGGCACGTTCAGTCCTGTTGTGAACAGTCCAAAAACCCTCAGTGGAGGTCACTGAAACAGCACTTTTCAGACACTGGAGGCCCAGCCTCTGCTGCTACCACATTAAAGTTCTTGCCAGGCGGGATTCTCATGTTCAGATTCTGTCAGAACACACTTAAGATCTCCTTACTCAACAAGCGGGTTGATGCAACTTCAGCTTGCCAGACACTTCTGCAGGGAGAGGACATGTGTGCAGCACGTACCAAGGACAGCCCAAAGCAGCAGCCCGTAAATCAGGGTTCTGCAGATCCTCACGCAGACTCACACTCACTTGTTTTTCCTATGACTTGGCAAATGGAAAACAAAGAACAGCTCTGGGCAGTTTCAGGGTTTGGGTCTACATGCGGACTGCTGGCAGCAGGTCATACACGCACAGCAGACCCGCACAAGGCAGCATGCCTTTCTCTCCATACACCACGTGGATGCTGCCATGTATGTATGGGAACTGCTGGGTCCCAGCCTGAACCACTGATTGAACACCTGGGGAAAGGACTGATCAGCCCTGGGAGCACAGGTGAAGGCAGTTCAGCTGTGTGACTGGAAGGGGTGGAGCCTGGCTGCACCTCTCTCAGACACCATTTAAGGGCTGACTGCCACTGGGGACAGATCTCCAGTTAGAGATTCCTCCCTTGTGTAGTTTTCCTGTGAGCTGAGATCTTCAGAGCCAGGTGAGCACTTTTCTTTTTTCTTTGTTACACCTTTCCATTGCACTGGTCCTTCCGTCATTACACCTCCTGTATCACCATTTCACTGTGTTAATCTGGTTGTTACACGTGTGTAATGCACAGGGCGCTGCCCCAGGTCCCACAGCACACCCTCCCCACAAGTCCCCTCCCACCTTTCCCTCAGCCCCACCCTCACCACCACTTTCTTCTTTACATTTCAGTCTCAGCTGTCAACTCTCTACAGACAAGAGAAAACCTGTTACCTTTCACTGTAAATATTAACTGTAAGACTGGTGTCTGCTAACAACCCTCCCCGTACAAAACCAAACAGCTCAGAGCCTTCAGAGAGCAGACAGGTCTGACAAGAGCAACCAGGTTTTGATTTGTTGTTGTTTCTTTGTTGTTTCTTCCTGGTCCCAGCAGAGATCTTTGGTTTCCTCTGCGGGATATCAGCATCCCACCAAGTTGTGATGCTGGTGTTTGGGCCACGCCAGCCTTTGTCACAGCTGTTTTCCAGATGGCACACAGTCTATGCCAGACACAGCCCCAGTAACACAGCCCTGAGCTGCTCTAAACAAAAGGGCAGCAGCTAAACCTGCAACACAAACCAAAACCAAGCAGACAAGGAAAGCAGCACACAAACACCCTGCGCTGTAGGTTCTCCCATTTCCCTTGGCCTGGTGCACGCACAGCCCCGACAGCAGCATCTTGGGCTCTATTTTAAGCTTTTGTAACAACAGATGAGATGCGAGGGACAGCACTGGGGAAGTACGTGCATTGCTCCCAGAGGGAAAAGCGTGGACAAAAGGCAGTGGGTGTGGGGCTGGGACACAGCAGACCTGTCTGGGGATCAGAGGGCCTCGGTGCTTCTGGACGAGCAGCTCCCTTGGAGCCGGCACTGAAGTCCACGTGTGATCAGATACCACTCTCTTCGTTATTTAGAAAGAAACGAAACAATGCACACGCAAAGAGAAGAACTACGGGCTGCCTGTGGGCTGAGCTCTCCCAGTTCTACGACGCTCTGATGCTGTGAGTGCAGAGGCTGGCCGTGCCGCTGTGGCCCCGTGCGGGTACCGGCGTGCTCCATCCGCGAGGGACACGGAGCGCCTTCACCGAGCGCAGCTCCGCCGTCCCTCCAGCACGGCGCTGCGGGAGCTCAGCAGCCCTGCCTGCAGCCCGGGAGCCCGGCGTGGGCACCGGCACCGCGGGCACAGCGCTCCTAAAGGCACCGCGGGGAACGCACGCTCCAGAAGCAGCGAGGTGCGAGTATATTCCAGGTAAGGCATTCTTATTTAGAGGGCACGGGGAATAGAGGAAAACCGGTCGTTGTTCTATTGTTCCCTATGGCAGCGCGGGGCAGCGGAGCCGGCACTCACTGCGGATGGCGGCGATCAGCGCGTTGCCGTCCTTGATCACGTCCTTGATGAACTTGTTGGTGCGCTCCAGCTCCTGCTCGTAGCATTTCAGCCGCTCCCTGAAGTCGGGGCTGTCCAGGTAGCAGTCGCTGAACTCCAGCGGCGGGTGCCCCATGGCTGCGCCGGGCGCGGGGATGGAGGGGCGGGCTGCGGCACCCTACGGCGCCCTGCGGCACCCCGCCCCCGCCGCGGGGGCCCCGCTCCCGGCCATGCCCGGCCCCGCCTCGCCGGCCCCGCCCCGCTCCCGGCCGCCCCGCCGGGTCCCCGCGGCGCAGCGCGACCCCCGCTTCCGGGCGGGGCGCGGCGCGGGGGTGCAGTTCCGGGGGCGCGGGGCTGAGGCGCGGCCGGGGGTGGGCGCCGCACCGCGCCGTGCCGCCCCGCGGTGAGCGGGAACTCCTGACGCCCCCCGACGCCTCCGCGCGGAGCCGCGCGCCGCGGGACCCGAGGGCTGCGGGGCCGCTCCCGGGCCGCTCCCGGCGCCGCCGCCCCCCGCCCGGCCCCGACCCTCCGCGCGCGGCACCGGCGCCCCCTGCCGGCCGGGAGGCGCGACGCGCGCGGCCTCGTTACCACGGACGCTCCGGCGGCGCGTGACGCCGAGGCGCTGCGCGCGGTGATGACGTAATCGCGGCGCCACGTCGGCTGTGCGGCCAAGATGGCGGCGGCGGAAGGCGGTGTAGCGGCGGCGGCGGCCGAGCCTCTGGTGAGCGCGGCGCGGGGCTGCGGGCGGGCCGAGGGCGGGACGGGACGGCGGGGCTTCGCTGCCGCTCTGTAAGCGGCTGTGCGCCGGGCAGCGTGCGGTGCGGGCCGCTGTGGGCTCCGCCGGGCCGGAGCGCGGCCCTGTGCGCTGTGCTCGGAGCCGAGTCCGCACGGAGATCTGCCTCGGGAGAACCGCGGGCTGCGCGGGGAGGGGGAGCGGGGCGCGGAGGTACCGAGGAGAACAGAAGCGCTTCGTTTGCGTACGGCTGCTCGCCCGGAGCATCGCCCGTGAGCCGCTCGGTCAGGCAGCGCTGCGTGCAGCCCCCGCGTTGCCGCGACGCTGTCCGTAGCGCTCCGGGCAGCGGCTCTCACCTGTTCCCGTTGATAAAGCGCCGGCGGCCGGCGTGAGCTGCTCTGCCTTGCCTTCGCTCCAAGGATTTCCCCGCCCGTTCAGTTTGCAGGCCTGGCAGATGTGTCGATATCTGAGGACATCCCCGTGGAAGGGGAGATCACGGTTCCCGTGGGGTCCCATTCCCCAGAGGAAGATTTCTCCACGCTGGATGAACCCGTCAGGGATACCATTGTGAGTTTGCGTTCCCTCCCCTGTCTGTGATAAAATGGGTTTTGCTGAGCTCTTTGGCCAACTGCTCTGCAAAACCTGCATTCTTTGCGTGCCTTTATTCAGCTTGTACATCTAAATAAGCTTTCTGGGGGGTTGTGGATAGTTGCCGTTTCTGTAGAGTTGTTTATGTAAAACGTGTGCAAATATGCATGAGTCACAAATAGTTATAGCCTCAAAGTTTCTTCCATCTTAAAATCTTCGGAAGTGTAAAAGCATATGGAACTTGGGAGAAGACTATCCCAATTAATAAGACTTGTAGTTAATTTTCTTCTCCTAGAGGACTGTAGCAGAAATCACAGAATGGCTGGGGTTGGAAGGGACCTCAAGGATCATGGATCAATGAGAAATGCTCAGTCACAGCCTGAAGCAGTGATGGAGCACCTGGGGGGAAGGCAGGGCCAGCCCAGGGGAGCTCAGGTGCAAGCAGTGTGCCGAGTGATGGAAGGAATGGAGGCAGGATCCACCCCTTCCCAGCCCTCATTTAAGGGTTGGCAGTGGAGGTGAGGGCATCTTGCTGGAGATTCCTGCCTACCTGAACCCTTCCAAAGGTAAACAGCTCTTTTCCTTCACTTCTGTATCCATTGCTCCTGCATTTGAGCTCATTCTCACTTACTATTGCCAAAGACTTTGCCACCCTGCCTGTTATCATCCCATTATAGCATTAAAAGGAGTAAACAAATTATTTTTCTTTATTGGGCATTCCTAGATATGCAGTACGGTTGAGTTCTTAAGCAGTGTACAAAATATAGCATTGTTTGTTGCAAAGTCTGCTACCAGAATGTTTTGGTTGGATGCTGTTCTGATTTGCTGTGAATACCGCTTTACTTTTTATCGTTTTGCTTTTGGTTGAGGTCTGTAACTTTTATATAAAAATGACTTCTTTATTTCAGCTGAGAGATCTGAAGGCTGTTGGGAAGAAATTTGTCCATGTCATGTATCCAAAGAAGAGCAGCGCGCTCCTCAGAGACTGTACGTGTGAGACGTCAAATGTGTGGAGGGTCGTTTTGAGCGCGCTTTGTGGATGCTTGGGAGGGAGGGATTCCATAGAACAGGGGCTCAGAAGTGTCTGCTCTGTGTTCTGTCTGTTCTCTTAGAGTGCTGAATAGCAGAGGTGAAAAAACAGACGGTCAGCAAAGCTGTTTTAAAGTAGCACACGTGTCAGAAGGTATAGAACAGTTAGCTTTTATGGAAAGTAGGGTTTCTGTAAGTGATGTATGGAATATGGTTTAAGATGCTAAATTATACCTGTGAGGAGGTATAATGAAAATGATGCCATAGCAATTGGAAAAGGGTGCTTAATTACTCACATAAAAATATCATTATATCATATTTATGATTTTTTTTTTTCCTTACCTCCAGGGGATCTTTGGGGGCCTTTGGTGCTTTGTGTCTCACTTGCTCTGTAAGTACTTACAGTGTGTGGATTTATTTGTATTTGTTTTAGTATGAGGACTGGGAGCATGTGAACCTCAGGATTTCTTTTTACATGTGTCAGGATCATGCTCTTTGCTCCTCCAGTCTTCTACAAACACTGCCTATTTAGACTTATACATTTTGGACATCTGTAGCCCCTTAGGAGCTCCCTATCATGGGAAGATCTTACTGAGAAGATCCTGATTCACATCGTTCTTGATTTTAATGCATCTGGCTGACTCCTTTGACCCTAATCTGCAGGAGAAACCTTGTATTTAAGAGCAATCGTGTATGTACTGTGCATCCTAAGGAGAGAACTGATGGAAATGAGGGGCTGTTGTAATAGTATACAACTATTTGTTGTACAATAGTATACAACTATAATTGTTGTAATCAGTGGGAGGTGACTGTGGCTCTCAGGAGTGTTTTGGTGCTCCATTAAATCATATATGCCTGGGGTAAGGTGGATACTTTGACATCTGCTATCTGGGTAAAGGGCACCAACAGAACTCAGCATCAGAGAACACTTAGTGAAATACTTTATCAGAAACGTACCGTGTGAATTGAATCTTCAAATCTATACATGCTTACTTTTCCAGGCATTGTGTTACATTTCTTGCATTCTGTTCTCGCCGTAAGCTTTCCTTAAGGCATAACTCTTTTCTCAAGCAGTGCTCTGCCTGCTTTGAGAGGCTACCAAACTTCTAATGTTCATTTTCTTGGCTTTTATCTGTGATTTTTCTCTGGTGTGCTTACACAGTCCTCACAACAAGTACACAAATGGACTGAAGTGCCTTCAGTTGGGCAGCAATCATTTTCTTTTCCCGTACAAAATTGTGGATACCAAAAGTAAAAATAATTGGTCTACAGTCTAACTAAGAATCAACATCTCCAGTTCCCTATTGTCATCTGTTCTAGGTTTGCAAAAGCTCAGTCATCAATTGCAATTGACTCCTTGTATCTGTTGTCTACAACAGGATGCTGCAGGGGGGATCAGCAGATAGCAAGGAAGACGGAGGGCCCCAGTTTGCTGAGGTCTTCGTCATCATCTGGTTTGGTGCAGTTGTCATCACACTAAATTCAAAGCTTCTGGGAGGAACTATGTGAGTGTTGTCTTATAGGAACAGTTACACTGCTTCAGGGTATGAAATCTAAAGGATACTGTGGTCTAACTATTTTTCTCCCTCCTTTTTAGATCTTTTTTTCAGAGCCTGTGTGTTCTGGGTTACTGCGTCCTGCCCCTGACGGTGGCCATGCTGGTGTGCAGGCTGGTGCTGCTGGCAGGTTCTGGCACTGTCAGCTTCATTATACGCCTGATTGTAGTGATTGCTATGTTTGCTTGGTCAACGTTAGGTGAGTACCTGTGAGTGTTACAGCATGCTGTGTGCGCTGAGTGGTGTGATGCTTAAAGGAGTGGCTGTTTGCATTCTGCTGAATAAAGCCAAAGGGTTTCTGTAGTTTCAGGAGTTTCCTAGGCTGTTGCAATACTGCAGAAATAGTTCTTCCAACCCTTGTGTTGACAGAGTTTCAGCCTTTGACTGTACTTCTGTTGATTTTCATGATCATATACAAATTGCCGTTGGAGGGAGGACGATAGTAATTAATATTAAACTTTGTGTGAAATGCTTAGGTGTTTCATTTCATCATTTCTGTTATAAATACCCTTTAAAGAACACGTGTCAAGTATTTGAATTATTTCCCTTGTTCTTAATCTGTTAGGCTGAATCTCATACAGAATGCTGATCAGCATCCTTTTTTCTACATGATAAAACTTTAATTTGTGATCGGAGACCATTGTTACTGAGCTATGCTTTACTTTGTTTTCTGTCCTTCAACTTAATTCTGATTGAGATCTTCAAGCTTAACAGCTGCAGTGTCAATGTTTTAGTTCTGTGCTGTTTCAAGTATTTTTCTTTCCCTCTGTCACCAGCATCTACAGCCTTCCTGGCAGACAGCCAGCCTCCGCACCGCAAGGCGCTCGTGGTGTACCCCATCTTCCTCTTCTACTTCGTTATCAGCTGGATGATTCTCACCTTTACACCTCAGTGATGTCTGATCAGAAGAGACTGTGTGACACAGCCTGAAGTTTTACATGAACACTGCAGTTGATTGTTGGCTTTATCTCTTGTTAATTTATATTTGGAGATAGTCTAAAAAGGCTGCTTATGGGATAAAGCCAGAGAATTGCAAGACTGGTCGCGTGTTCTTGAGAGAGATGGAAGTCCAGCTACTGAGTTTTTTGTTTAATTAGCCCTGCTCTTTAGTTGTGTCGACTAAGAAATGCACACTGTGACAGGGAATATTCTGTCTGAGGAATAGAGGGAGAGATCTTGGAACTTCAGGAGTTTGATGGGTTACAAGATCACACCGCCTGGCAGGGTTCTTGCTTATGCTTGGATTCTTGCTCAGGGGGAACATGCCTTACATTACTGTTATGTGTTGGGTGGATAAGGAAGAATTTGTTTGATTCCTGTCCTTTTTCATTCACTTACAGAGTGGTGAAATGTATATAAAACGCATCATAGGACTGTAAGTTTTCACTCTGAAATCAGATCTCAGCAAAAAATAAGTTGGGTCCAGTTTGCTGTTAACTAGAGCTGGGCTGAAGGGGACTGATTGCCTTTGCTCCTGTCAGCATTCTCTGTATTTATGTTTTGCCCTCTTCAGCATTAAGAAAGTGTGTTTTAGCCAGATGTTTCCAACTCTGGCTACACTCACTAATCCATACATCCAATGAGAAGGGGTGCTTAAGTAGGTAATTATAAATCTTTTTGTGTTCCTCTAGATTAAAAAGTCCTGAGAAACCAGTGAAGGCTGCTTTGCAGCAGGGGCCTACCTAGTACTCTACGTATTGATTAAAAGTGGAAGTAGAAGTGTCTGGGGAGTACAGAATGTATCTCTTAAAAATAATTGAGAAGTTGAGAGTTGAAGTGTTCAGATGGTATCATAACCAAACCAGGGTGTGGGTCCGAAAGTTTTAAGATGGGTAGATCGGAGGAAGGAAAATAAATCTTCCTAAAAGGAAGGTGGTGGCTGTTATGAAGTAGGATACAAATTCTGATCTAGATTGCTTGTATGTGACATTCATTTGTTTGTTTACATGGTTGGTGTCTCCACATAAATGCAAGGAAATTTGCATATTGTTCCTTTGTACTTAAAATGAAATGTGAGAAACTTTTCTATATTTTCTTTCCCAACACTTTTTATAAAAGGAGAGGGGAGGTTTTCTTCTCCAGTAGGACGCCTCCTGCCTGGAGAGCCATGCACAAACATGGAAGTGTGTAATCTATATTTCATCTTAGGGATTGACTGAGAGCTGGCACATTGGTTGCTGAAGATTGTACAGAAGTTCTCAGTAATCAGGCTGAGGGGGGAGCTTTGGAATGCTTCGGGGGTGGAAAAGCTGCTGTTAAAATGTCTTTTTTTTTTCTTTCTGAAAATGGGCTTTGGATTTTCGTTCTTCTGTACTAATGCAGATGGACCCAAAGTTGATATAAATGGGTCCTGTTGAAGTGTAAATACACCTAATTTATATTTATAGAGAAGAGTACCCTTTTCTGCTATAAGCACTACAAATACTTGGTAATTGGGATGGAATTGTTAAATGTGCAGACTGACGTGACATTGTTGCACTTCTGAGAGGGTAGAGAAGAGGAAAGGAAGAAATCAGGTAACTGGGAGCTCTGGGCTGTTGCAGAGCAGCAGCAGCGGGCGCGTGGGGCTGAGAGCAGCTGTGTGCCTGCTGGGCTGTGTGCTGCAGGAGGAGCTGTGCTGTTTCGTATACTTGAGTGTCAAATGAAGATGGGAATTCTTTTAAACGTCCATTAAATTATTACTGTTGAGGAATGTGATCTTTTTTCTTTAAAGTGTGCTGCTTTCCTTTCACTGAAGCGTTGGTTGAGCTTTCTGAAGTTGAAAAGGAGTATTCAAGAGAAGGGGAAAGACACTGAAGCTATTGACTACTCAAGTTGGATTCTTTGAGGAAAAACTCCTATTTAAGCACAAGAATTTAACTGTTGCTTTTGAGAAATCCTTGGAATTCTGTAGTATTTAGTGTCCAGCCTTGTGAATTAATGTGGTTATATCAGAAAGATAATCAGAGTTCTTTTTGAAAAGAAGGGAAATTATTTAAAGAGGAATTAAACAAAATCCCAGCTTTTTCCTTATTTGTTTTTGACTTAGGAAGAAGTCTGGTGGTGGCTTGTTCTGTAACATAGGGCTTTTGGCTTATCCAAGGAAGTTATTTTTATATTAGCTAGATTTACTTTTCAGCTGATTGCTACAGACTTCAGAGTGGTGTAAGTCTGAAAGAATGAACAGAGAGATACTGGTGATGTGATGGAGGTTTGTTTTCTAACTTGTAGTCCTTCAGTGTGGAAACCATCGCCTAAAACCACGAAAGCAGGATGTATAATGCTGAAGACTTGCTGCAGAGCTGTAGCTGGCAGGGGGCAGGCAGGGAGCTAGATTTTCCTGAGTTCGTGTCTCCAATTGAATAAATTACAGCTCAAGTTTGGTGTTTTTCAGTCGTTCTTTCAGCAGAAGGTGGGGGATGCTGATGCTCTCAGCCAGGAGCCCTGGCTGCTGCAGCTCACTGTCAGACTGAGCTGACTTTGCTTCTCAGCTTTCTGTTGAGTGAGGGGCTCGTCGATAATTTGCCCACTACGATGTTGTAATCACTTCTGGAAAAGCTCCAGAGGGTGGTTGGCCTTTCACCTTAAGGATGACAATCTACTGAAGATTTGGCTCTTTGTGAGCACAGCTGCTTGGAAGGGCAGAGAGCGAGCACCGAGCGTCAGTGCAACGAGCAAGGCTGATGGTTGGGGGTTACCTGTCTTGTGTGACTTCAGAAAGCTAAGAAGCCAAAGCTATAATTTGTTCTTCTATGCACTCTTCAGCCGCTGCTTATGTGGAAGCAGCTTGCCCTGTGCCAGCAGGGGGATCCCAGGGCAAAGCATGGAGCGGTGCTGCAGCTCAAGTGAAGCATTTCGGATACAGGCAAGTGATGTCACTGCAGCCTGAGATGGGGATTGGTGTGGCAGTCCTTGGGCTGCTGCAGGGGGAGGATTCTGTGCCATCCTCGGTGCGGCCCTGCCCTTGGGCACGGCTGTGTCTGCGGCTCCGTGGCCTACTCGTGGCGGTGTGGATTTTGTTCCTTGTGCTCCCGGTGCTTTGGCTGCAGGGCCGCTCGCAGCTGGTGGCAGCGCATCGCGTTTCCTTCCGGAGGTGTGGGCTCCTTTCCCTGGTGCTGTGCTGCCCTTCCCTCCCCGCACGAGGAGCGGTGCTGCTGCTGCTCCCGGCTCCTGCAGCTGCTGCTGTCACGCTGTGCCAGGAGGGGTCCGCACTGAGCGCGTGGGCTCTGCCAGGAGAATGGGAACGGGATGGTTTCACGTGCACTGTGCTCTCTTTCTGGCACGTTGGGTTGCTGTCTCAGAATTTATGCCATGCACTTATTTATAATCTCCCTCTTCCTATAACAGTCCTCATTCAGGGAAACGAATGCAGCCGCTTCATCAGATACTGGAACAGCTGCCCAGAAAGGCTGTGGATGCCCCATCCCTGGAAGTGTTTAAGGCCAGGTTGGATGGGGCCCTGGGCAGCCAAGTCTAGCATTAAATGAGGAGGTTGGTGGCCCTGCATGTGGCAGGGGGGTTGGAGTTTCATGGTCCTTGAGGTCCCTTCCAACCCTGGCCATTCTGTGATTCGTCAGCACTCCAGCATCCCCATAGCAGCAGCTGCTCTGGACAAGGCCCTGCGGGTCGGGGCACCTGCCTTGGGAGGGCTCTGAGGCTGCAATCAGGTGGGAAGGAGGTGCAGCTCTCTGCACATTCTCTTCCTCCCCTGGGTTTCCATGCTGCAGCAGAGGGCAGTGCCCCAGCCCAGCTTGGTGGCAGCGTGGGTCTGAGGGCAGCACATTCCTGCAGCCGTGCGGGGTGAGGGAGGGAAGGAATGTGCTGTTCCATAACGATGTTTTGTGCATGGGTGTTTGTCTGAAGTTCCCATTGGGTTTTTGTGGCATCCCCAAAAGCCGTGGCAGTGCTTGGCTGCTGTCAGCCCTGCAAATGTGCTGCTGGGCACAGCTGGCTGCTCGCTGCCCCAGTGTGCGCAGTGCCTGCCCTGTCTGTGCCATCAGTGGCTCAGAAAGGGCCTGGGGAGGAGCACAGTAGCATTCCCCCAGTGCAGCACCCAGCCCTTGGCACACTGTGGGGCATGGCCGTGCTGTGCATGGGCACAGCCATGGGTACCGTGGTCCTCATGTGACCCCAGGTGCTGGGGACACAAGGGGGAGCCTGCAGGGCCCACTGCCACTGTGTTGTGACCCCATTGCATGGGGCTGAAGGAAGAAGGGCTGAATGTGGAAGGCCATCTCGCAGTGCTGGAAGCAATGCTGCACCTGGGAGGCATTTCTCAGCTGTCTGCATGAACCCAAACTGGGCCAAAAGTACAGCAGGGCTCCTCTCAGCCAGCAGCTGCCACCATGGCCATGTGCTGCACGTGGGTGAGGCAAAGCTCGCTTACGGCGTGGCGTGGAGCCAGGAGGGCCCCAAAGACAAACGTGTCCCTGTTCCTGCTGTGTTCCCAGTTAGCTGCTGGGTTGCTTTTGGTGCTGGAGGCTGTAGGCAGAGCACAGAGTGCAGGTGGTGCAGCCTGGCTGTGAGCAGTGTGGGCTGTGGCTGCTGCTGTGTGTTTGCTGTACACCTTCTCAGCCTGCTGCTGCTAATCACCACCCCAGCAGCACCTCAGGGTGGGCACTGCTCTGCTTGCAGGAAGGTTAATGTCACAGAAGCACAGTGATGTTCCTGCCTGCAGCGGGGGGGTTGGAGCTTGGTGATCCTTGAGGTCCCTTCCTACCCAAGCCATTCTATGACTCCTGTGAGGAAGAGGAACCTGCTGGTCAGTGTTCTGCTGATGGCACTTTTCCCATGTACAGATGCTGCCAGTGTGCACTGTGGGCCCTTCTCCTGCCAGGATCTGCTGCAGTCTGAATGGTTCCTGGCCAACTGCTGCTCTGTTTCTGATAAAATGAGACAGGAGAACGGGCCACGTTATGCACTGACACACCAACACCACTGAGAGGTTTTCCAGCAAGGTCATCTCCAATTCAGCAGATGTAGGAGCTTTGGTCCTCTGAATGTTTATTTGGCTTTTGTGTATATACTGACCTGAGTGTTTGTAAGCATCAGCCCAGGTGTTCAGCACTCACAGGTGTCTCCTTTGCTGGAAATGCACAGCCCCAGGCAGCTCTGGGGATCCTGAGAGCAGCAAGGTGATGCTCTGTGCTCAGCCTGGCGCAGGGCTGGGTGCTTTGCCCTGCTGGCTGTGGCCGTGCTGCAGGCTGAGCCATGAGCTGCTGGGTACAGCCAGCTATGGAACCTGAGCTGCAGCTGAAGGGCATTCCCTTTCATTCTGGTCGCAGCACGTGCCCTTGTGCTGTATTAATAACTCACCCAGTGTTCCTTAAAGTAGGAGCAGCAGCCGCCCTGATGAAAATAACTCGCCTTCATCGAACTCACCATCAGCAAATGGTGCTTTTGTTTGTGTGTGTCTGTGGCAGGGCTGTTGTGTTGGATATTGTTTATAAGCTGGACTGGATGTGCTCACATACAGTGGCTCCTATTACTGTTCTGCATTGCTCATCGTTGCACAGTTGGGCTTTTGGTTCGAGGCTGCCCCATCCCCAGCACTTTGCCCCAGGGGCAGCAGGGCCCAGCATGGGGGTGAAGCTGCTGCCAGAGGCTGCGAGCATTGCTCTGCAGCAGGAGATGCTGTGGGCAGCACCACGTTCCCCTGCTGGCGCAGCCTCTGCAGCCCTCCAGCACTTTCCTATCAATTCAGCATCATTAAAATAAAAGAGCTACTCTTCCCACTATGCTAATAGGGTAAATGCCTGCTCTGTGAGCGGCTGCTCTCCTCCTGAACTCTGAAAAATGCCTGCACATAGCAGAAAGTGGAAAATCACTGCATGGCAATGACTTCCCAGCTTCTTGCATCCCACTCACACCTCCTGATGCCCCATGAGCAGCAACAGGAGCTCCTGCTGCCATTAAGCACTGCTGGGAGCTGCTGGCCCTCACCTCTTTAGAGTATTGCCAGAGGGCTCCTGAGCAGTGCAGTGACAGTAACTGCTCACTGATGGGAACAGCCCCTGGCATAAGCCTGCTTCTGTATGGCTTGTAGTGATAGAGGTCCATAGGCTAATAGTAGAAATTGCATTTGCTTTTCCCAACATATGAGGGTACCTATGGAACAGGCATGTGAGAAATGCTGGGAAGAGGTAGAAGTGCTGCTGCAGCCCATGTGCCAGCACTGCTCTGCTTTGGAAAGCGTTGGGTGCCATTCTCAGGCACTGTGCAGTGGATCTGGTGCTTTCAGCCCACGCTGACCAAGGATGACGCCTTGCTGCGATGCAGAAGGGTCCCAGACTGAACATTGCTTGGATGTTTTGGGGATGACTGGATCAAAAGGAACTGCACAAGTATGCAGCAGCCCCTGCGGTTTGTCTGCCAGGCCCCGGGAAGGAGGCAGACAGCATTCTGCTTGTGCTGCTTTTTTTGTATGGAGGAAGTGGGGAAAGGACTTCCCAGCAGCAGAGCGCGGTGCGAGGTGAGGTGTGGCTGTGCACAGCCCTGATGGAATAGTTCTGGTGGGTCACCCCAGCTGTGTGGCTACCACAGAACATTTTACTTTTCTTTTTTTTTTTTTTTTTTGAGGGTCAGATTGACAAAATGACAAACGAGCAGAAACCAAACAGAGTGGAGCCCAGGGAGTTCACCAGGAACCCTCCTTCCACCAACTGGCTTTGTGCTCAGCACGGGGCGAGGAAGGAGTGGACGTGTGCACTGAGGCCAGGGCAGCCTGGGGGTCACAGCGCCCAGCCATGTGCCCCCCACCAGCAGCCCACAGGCACCCCGCCGGCCCCGGCTGACACATGGCAGGAGCTCAGCTGCCCGCAGCACCTGCTGGGTCTGCTATAAACGGCGCTGGGGGGGCGGACCCCCACCGGCACGTGGGGCTGCCGGGGCCGTGCAGAGCTCCCGACGTACAGAAAGCGGTGCGTGTCCTGGCCCTGCTGTCACTGCTTGTTCTGAAACGCTGTCGTAAATCGCTATTTGGTGTTTTGTTTCTGAAGTGCTTAGAAGCAGCCTAATTCCAGCCAGGGGGCTGCATATCTGACACCCACCGCCTGCACGGAGGTTTGTGGCACTTCCTTTTATTATGGGCTTTCTTGCAAACAAACGCTATGTCTGCAGAAGTGTTTGCGGGGGGAAGATAAGGAGCTGTGAATAGAGGCACAGTAAATGCTGGGCCGGGATTGGTGACCCTTTCTCTGTATGGGGGTCACTGCGCAGGGCTGTGTGGGTCTGGGGGCACCTGGGGCCGCAGCTCCGAGCAGTGCTGGCAGCGCCGGGCTCTGCGACCGCTGCTGAGCTGGAGTGGGGCCGGAGGGAAATGCAAACCATCTGGGCTTGGGTTTCCAGCGCCCTCCGTGCGCCTTTGACACTGAGCTCCT